TGCCATGGATTCAGTTCTGACTCATAGTGACCCTGTATGGGGTTTCTGAGGAGCAGTTGATGGTTTTGAACTGCTGACCTTGTGGTTGGCAGCCCAGTGGTGATCCTACAATGCCACACCAGGAGTCTAAGGAAATGGTAATAAATAGTTATATGAATGAACAAGTTGGTACTTGTAGTTGGTACTGGAGTAGGTTCTGACTCAGAGACCCTGGATAGGGTTTCCAAGGAGCAGTTGGTCAGTGTAAAATACTGACCTTGTGGTTCCCACCAACCTTACAGTCCAGCGCATTTTTCTAACACTTTAACTGGGGTATCACAAAAACCTTATACATGTATGCCTTAGATAAATAATCATATACAGTTGTTTCTTTCTATGAAATTTGTTGAAAATTTAACATAGTTTAAAGTATAAAATGTAATATTCAGTACATTCCAAATATTGTGCAGCCATCATTTTACCTAGTTCTAAAACATTTTCATCACCCCCAATAGAAACCCTGTATCCATGAAGCTATCACTGTCTAGTTCCCAGCCCCTGCAAACCACTAATCTGCTTTTTGTCTTTACAGACTTATCTATTCTGGAACTGTAAATAGAATCATATCATCTCTGACCTTTTACGCCTGGTGTCTTTTACTTAGCATAATGATTTCAAGTTCCAACCATGTTATATCATGCGTCAGTACTTAATTCCTTTTTATAATTAAATAATATTCCCATGTAAGGGTATTTTGTTTATTCATTCATCTGTTTATGGAAACATAGGTTGTTTCTACCTTTTGGCTACTGTGAATTCATATACATTTCTTTGTATGAATATGTGTTTCCAATTCTTTGGGAGTATAAATCTAGGAGTATAATTGTTGGATAACATGGTAGTTATCTGTTTAACTTTCTGAAAGACTGTCAAACAATTTTCTAAAGTATCTGTACCATTGTTCATTCATTCCAGAAAAGCTCTGGTAGCATTATAGTTAAGAGTCCTACTGATAATCTCAAGATCAGTGGTTCAAAAGCACTAGCCATTCTGTGGCAGAGAGATGAGACCTTTCTGCTTCCATGCAGAATTACGGCCTTAGAAACCCTATGCAGTGTCGCTAAAAGTTGGATCCAACTCTATAGAACATAACCAACATTACCACCACCACCAGAAGAATATGAGGGAGTTATCTCTTCATATCCTCACCCTTCTTTTCTAACATTGTTATTGTAATCATCATAGTACCATCCTATGCAGTGGTATATTTTGTGGCTGTGATTTGTGTTTACAAAGAGCCCTGGTAGCATAGTGGATTACAAGTTGTAATACTAACTGCAAGGTCAGTAGTTGGAAGCTACCAGTTTCTCCCTCCACAGAAGAAACATGAGGCTTTCTGCTCCTGTAAAGATTTACAGCCTTGGAAATCCTATACAGGATGACTATGAGTTAGAACCAACTCAGTAATATACTGAGCAAATGAGTAACAGTGCTAAGCATATTTTCATGTCAATAATCATATATTTTAAGGTAAAAATTAGATATTTTGAATTATATAGTTGGTTGTTTTGTCAGGGACAAGTTAGAACCCCTGGGGCCCTGGGCCTCTCTTACCCTGGCTTCCCCTGAAAAGCTGTGAGGGCATCTCTAGTCCAACAAGAAGGATAACTGAGAATAGGCTGGAGACGGAGATAGGGATAGCAGAACCTGAAACCCTGATAGAAGTAGCTGGTTGCAGGCAGAGGACCCATGAAGATAGTGCCTAAAGCTGACATCTGCAGCAGGCGCCCCATTTCCAAGAAGCCTACGCCCCTCTACAAAAACCATGAATATTCATCAGACCACTCCTCCTTATTAATATGTGTTTGCTCACCCCTTGAGAAAGGGACCCCATACCTTTATAAGCCAGTGCACCCCACTTCAAAAGGTCTTCTCCTCTCTCTGAGACAGACCCCCTTCTCTCTTTGAAGTGTACAATTCGCTTTGACCTCATCTGATCTATGCTTCCTACTGCTACCAGGTCTACTCCACTCTTGAAGAATGACCTGCTTCTCTCTCTGACGTGTATTTTTGCTTTGCAATAAAGAGATTCTAAGTGAATACTTATTGTTCATGTGTGACTGAGAAGTAGAGACTTGGTGGGACTAATTCTTTAGAACTCCTCCCCGCAAAAGAGAGAGCGACCAAGGGAAAAAAAACAAAATAGTTTCAGGTATCCTCACTTATATAAATATGCTCATATGAATCTAAAAGTTGATGAATTAATTTTAAAAGGCAACACAGTTTAATTGGCGGTCAGTATATAAAGCTTCACTGGCATGCTGGAGATGGGTATGTAACATATATAATAGGGCAGGGTTGAGCTTTCCTCATCCTTGCCAGTAATGCAAACTTCATGGAGCCAAATTGGGACCCAGCAGAAATCTGTTTTCAATTGCTTTCTTAAGTCCATTCACAAAGTTTAGAATTCTACTTTCAGCTTTGGTGCTATGTATTTTGTGATGAAACAGAACATTCTAGGCAAGCCCTACATACACAGGATTCTCATGAAAAAAAAAAAAAAAAAGAAAGAAAAAAAGGCATGCTTTTAATTATATTGAAGGTTAAATGAAACAGTTAAAAAAAACAGAATCTTAATGTATTCTAATGTCATCAGAAGTTACAAGTCATTTCATAGAACTCCAATTTAATTATAATCATCAGATTATAATCATCAGAATATGAGCAGATTTCTTGATGTTGCTTCTCTGTAATGTTAATGTCTAGCCAGGAACTCTGTAGACTATCTGGTTTACTGTCAAGTGAAGCATAATAGTTTAGGCAATTATATTTGGCTTATTGGGTTAGGAATTTTTTTTTTTATATATATGTTCATTGAACATATATACTGATTTGACAGAATTACATACAATGCTGTAATAAACTTAAATTTCTTATCTCATAACTGGTAGTTCTGAAACCAAAATATTTTTCACAGGCAAAATATCTGCAATGATTTCTTACAGATGAATGAAAAATCACATTTCAAATTACTGCTATAATCTGTTAAAAATATAAGAAATTAATATGCAATTATGAGACTGTTAATTATGCCAATAGTATTACAAAGGATTCTGTGCTTTAAACTTTATATAGTATGTTGGCAACATACAGACTCTTAGAACTGGAAATCATTAAGTGCTCATGTTTTTCCCAAGGACTTAGTCAGAAGTCCATTGGACTTGCTGGAGTATGGATTTATTCATCCATAATTTATAACTGTTTACAAATATTGAGGTGTATGTGTGTGGTCAGGTGTGCATTTTTCTTCGGGGGGAAATAACTATTGCCTCAAATTCTTAAAAGAGCATGTAACACACAAAGGTCATTTTTTACATTAGTGAATGGATGTTTGGAGTCCTGGTGTGGCATTGTAGGATCAGCACTAGACTGTTGACCACAAAGTTGGCAGTTCAAACCCACAAACTGCTCCTTGGAAATCTTATGCAGGGTCTTTATGAGTCAGAACTCCATGGCACTTAACAACAACAACAACAATGAATGTATATAGATTTTAAGTGGTTTGCTTAAGGACAGTTACTTATGTCTGTCATGGATTCTAACCATATATACCTTTCATTACTTGCTGCAATATACTTCATATATTGCTGCAACTGTTCCTGAATTATTTTCAGCTTGATTTTAATTTCATTACTAAAGGATTTATTTCCCCTGTTATTGGTAAGGCAATGGTGATAGCTCTCAGCTGTTAATTTTCTTTAGAAACTGCATAGCCTGAAGAAAGTTGCCTTTTTCAGTTTCATACCATTTAAGCAGCATAATTTCAAATATTAGCAGAAACCAAGTCAAAGGTCTGATTTTCTGTCCTTTAATGATGACAATGCTGAAGAGCAAGCGCAATATAAGAACTTCCACAGCATCAGCAGAGATCTTGTAACTGCAACACAAGCCAATTTCTCCTTCTGCCTATTCTTAACTTCTTTCCCCTCACCCCATACATGTTGACCACATTAATCTGTCTAAAACCCCATCCATGTCAGAGTAGATCTATTCTCCATAGAGTTTTCAAAGGCTAATTTTTCAGACGTATATTGACAGTGCTTTTTTCAAGGAATCTTTGGGAAGATTCAAACTTCCAAACATTTCATTATCAGCTGAGTACATTAACTGTTTGTACTGCCCAGGAATCCTGGTAGTCTTCCAGGGGAGGTCACCTTGAAACAGTGCCAGAGCTATGACTTCTTGTGTTGTCGTTTCTAAATTTGTATTTGATTTTCTCACTATGCTGCTAACCGAAAGGTCAGCAGTTCAAACTCACAAACAGTTTTTCAGGAAAAAAGATGAGGCTGTCTTCTGTGATATTTATAGTCTCAGAAACCCAATGGAGCAATTCTACTCTGTGAGTCAGAATTGACTCAGTGGTAATGGGTTTCAGTAGGTGGGTTCAGACACTAACAGAATTTCGGTTTTTCTGAAGATTAATGAATAGCATATAAACGCACACAGTAAATATTCTTTTTCCAAAGGTAGAGAAATGCAAACAAAATGTATAACAGCATAAGAAAACTGTAGCTACATTTAAAAAGCAGTTGGTTCACTTGTGTGGAGAATGTTTTAATGCTGAGTGAGTAATGAGGTTGATTTTACAGGTTTTTGCTACTTGCTCAATCTTGGACACAAGGCATGGAGAACTGGAGTGCTTGAATTTTTGGTTTGGAATGTATTGACTTAAAATGCATGGTAATATTCCAGTTTTAGATCTACATTATACATTATAGAATAAAAATCTCAGATGCCTTCAGTTAGTAATGGCTTTTATGAATAATGGAATGTAACCCCTTCATAATATAGAAGAAGAAATGGAATTTTAAAGTAGATCAGACTTTCTCAACCACAGTCAAGTTAGGGTTACTCTCATATCTTTTAAATTTTTATCCAGAGCTTTCCCCAAATAGTGCAGCTTCTCAATGGTTCCATACTTTGCATTTAACATACCTATTTTCTCTTTTGGAATATCTTACCTGGCACCTGCCATTTGCACAGACATCTACACCCTGATAGCCACAAGAAGTTCCATCCATCACTTTTTCTGACAGAAGAATAGGCTGTTCTTTTCCAACAGGGGAGCAAAACAGGGCACATGGTTTTTCTACGTAAAGAGTCAATATAAGTCAATGAGTAAAGGTTACTCCATTAATACTTTTATCACAAGCTAAGTATTTTCAGAATAGTTATTGGATAAAAACTATGATACAGATGTTTATTGGATAATGCAATACTAGGGTAGATAATAGTAGAGGATTGTTGTAATATTAAATGAGATTTTGCTATTGTTAGTGCCATTGAGTTGGCTTGGACTCATAGAGACACTGCCCAGGCCTGCACCATCCTCAAAATTGTTGCGATGTTTAAACACATTATTGCTGCCACTGTGTCGATCCATCTCATTGAGGGTCTTCCTCTTTTTCTCCTTCCTCCACTTTTGCAAGCAAGATACCCTTCTTCAAGGACTAGTAATTCCTGATAGCATGTCCAAAGTGTGAGAGATGAAGTCTCACTATAAACACTTCCAAGGATCAATATGACAATACTTCTTCCAAAACAGATTTTTCTTTCTGGCAGTCCTTGATATATTTAATATTCTTTGCCAACACCATAATTCAAATGCATTGGTTCTTCTATAGTGTTTATTTTTCATTGTCCAGCTTTTACATGTAAACAAGGTTACTGAAAATACCCTGGCCTGTATCAGGTGCACTTTAGTCCTTAATGTGACATCTTTGCTCTTTAATACTTTAAGAGATCTTTTGCAGAAGATTTACATAATGAAATACACTGTTTGATTTCTTGATCCTGCTTTCACAAGTGTTGATTGGGGATTCAAGAAAAATGAAGACTTTGACAGTTTCAATCTTTCTCCTTTTTTATGATTTTTTTTATTGCTCCAGTTCTGAGGAATTTCATTTCTTGACACTGAAGGTTCTAGTCTTTGAACTTCATCAGTGAGTACTTGAAGTCCTTTTTGATTCTGCAAGCAAGGTGTGTCATCTGCATATTTTAGGTTGTTCATGAGTCTTTCTCACATCCTGACACCACATTCTTCTTCTATAATCCAGTTTCCCAAATTATTTGTTCAGCATACACACTAAATAAATATGGTGAAAGAATACAGCCCTGCAACACACCTTTCCTGATTTTAAACCTTTCAGTATCCCTTTGTCTTGTTCAAAGGACTGCCTCTTGGCCTATGTATAGGTTCCTCACGAGCATAATTAAGTGTTCCGGAATACTCATTTTTTCAATTTTATCCATAGTTTGTTATGATCCACACAGTTGAATAACTGCAATAGTAAATAAAACACAACTAAATATCTTTCTGGTATTCTTAGCTTAAAGTCAAGGTTCATTGGACATCAGCAATGATTTACCTCATTCCACACCTACTTCTGAATCTGGCTTGAATTTCTGGAAGCTCTCTGTCCATGTACTTATTGCTTCAACTGTCCCTGAATTATTTTCAGCTTGGTTTTAATTGCATGTGAAAAATAATTATATTTTATAAATGATTTCTGCATTCCATTGGGTCACCTTTCTTTGGAATGGATACAAATATGGATTTGATTCAATTGATTAGTAGGTAGTGATCTTCAAATTTGTTGGCATAGACAAGTATTCACCTCCAGTTCTGCATCATTTTGTTGAAACATTTCAATTGTTATTCCATAACTCCCAAAGCCTTGTTTTTTTGTCAATGTCTTCTGTGTAGCTTGAACATCTTCCTTCAATATCATTGATTCTTGATCACTTCCTATCTTTTGGAATAATTGAACATCGAAAAATTATTTTTGGTGCAGTAACTACATATCTTTCCCTTTTCTTTTGATGCTTTCTATGCCATCCAATATTTTGTCCACAGAATCCTTCAGTATTGACAGTTAGCTTGACTTTTTTCTTCGTTTCTTTAAGCATGAGAAATTCTGAGCATGTTTATCTGTTTTGGTTTTATAATTCCAGTTCTTTGTGCATTTCATTCTAATATTGGACTTTGTCTTATGGAGCTGCCTGTTGAAATTTTCTATTCGGTTCTTTTACTTCATCTTTTCTTCAGTTACGTTAGCACCTATACATTCAAGAGCAAATTTCAGAGACTTTTCTATCATCCATTTTGGAATTTTCTTTCTTTTTTTTTTTCTGGGTTTTTCAACAAGCTTTTGCTTTCTTCATGTATGAAATTATTGGTGTCATCCCACAACTCTTTTGATCTTTAGTCATTAGTACAAATGCATCAAATCTGTTTTTGAGATGGTTTCTAAATTCAAGTGTGATACACTCCAGGCCATATTTTATATTTTGGCTCTCATGGACTTGTTTTAATTTTCTTCTGCCTCAGCCTGTACTTGCATATAAATAATTGATGGTCTGTACCATAGTCAGCCACCACTTGCCTGTCAGTTTGTTGTACTGTGGTGGCTTGTGAGTTGCTGTGATTCTGAAAGCTATGCCACTGGTATGTTAAATACCAGCAGGGTCACCCATGGTGGACAGGTTTCAGATGAGCTTCCAGATGAAGACAGACTAGGAAGAAGAAGTGACGAATTACTTCCAAATATTTAGTCGCTGAAAACCTTATGAATAGCAGAGAAACACTGTCAGATATATTGCCAGAAAATGAGCCTCTCAGGTTGGAAGGCACTCAAAATGTAAGTGGGGAAGAGCTGGCTCTTCAAAGTAGAGTTGGCAGTGATGACGCAAATCGAGTAAAGCCCATGGGAGAAAAGCCCATGGGACCTTCATATGCTGATGGAGCACAACTCAAAATGAAGAGAAACAGCTGTAAACATCCATTGAAAATCAAAACATGAATGTCCGAAGTATGAATCTGGAAAAATTGGAAGTTGTCAAACATGAAATGGAATGCATAAACATCGATATCTTAGGGCATTAGTGAGCTGAAATAGATTGGTATTGACTATTTTGAATCTGATGACCACATGGTTCACTATGCCAGAAATGACAAATTGAACAGGAACGATGTTGCATTCATTGTCAAAAAGAA